AACCCTAAATAGTAGCTTCCATTTGATTTTCCATTATAACCCTAAACCCTAAACCCTAAACCCATTACCAGGTACCCCATAAGGGTACCCCTAATGTTGGGAAACTCCCAGTTCCCTTCTCAGAACCGCAAAGGGACAGCTCCTGGTCGGCCTCGGAGCGGCAGACCAGCTGCGCCGAGCCGTCTCCCTGGGAACCCACCTTAGGCCCTAATAGTAACAATAATAGTAATAGTAATAATAGCAATAATACTAATAGTAATAATAATAATAATAGTAATAATGATAATATTAATAATAATAATAATAGTAATGGTAATAGTAATAGTAATAGTAAGCAACTTCCCAAGGCAAATCGACTGCTACTTCCTTCCCTTATCAACTTGCTCACCTAACAGTTGCATTTCTCATTCTCAGGCCCGCTGAACAAAAACTGTCTGATCTGCCGGGGCCAGGGCCAAGGTCAGGGGCGGGGAACTGCGTCGCTTTCTTAACTACTCCGGGCGGCACTGCATGATGAAGCTTCCGCACCGGTGTGGTAAGCATGGGTAAGCATGAAGCCGACAGCACCATGGCCAGCTTGAGAAAAAAGTGGAGTGGTTTTTGTTTCTGAGGCTGCTGCGCCCTTGCCGCCAGTGATGTGCGGTTTCCTTAGACTGCAATAGCTGAACCGCACAGGAGTATTTCTCAAACAGAAAAAGGTCTCAAGGGGATTCCCTTAAAGTCTGGATATGACAAAGAGGTTATGGGGGTCTCTACTTAAGGATTACATAGGGACATGAGGGTACATGAAAAAAAAAAACCTTCCAACTCCGGGACAAGGCACAGAGATGGATGCGTAAGCAGCCGGTGCAGGGTGGGCGCCTGCGCGGCAGGCATGTAAACACCAAGGAGGGCACGCCATACCAATTAAGATCCCCCCTCATTCTGGTGTTCGGTATGAGCCGGGACAAATTCCTGAAATCACAACATGTTAATGATGCTGGTCAAAGCTTAGTGGCTACTCTGATTGGGCTCTAGGGGCTTCAGGATGCGGTGCACTGCATCAACTGCAGCTTGTTCTTCCCTCGCTCACCACAGGTTCAGCACATGCCAAATATGGAATCCACTAATATGAAGATATGGGAGACGTCTCAACCTTATCCCCTGCCATGACAGTGCATGATGATGCGGCGCACCGTCAGCTCGTGAGGGCAAAGGGGGACAGCAACCTCGTCCCATCGCTCCTGTGCCTTGGTCATGGCCTGCACAGGGAGCAATTAACACCGACTGCCCTTGCTTTGGCATTGCTGCCTTTGCACCATGAGAGTACCGTGTGCAAGGCACATCAGAAGCTTTGAAGCACAGCTCAGACCTAGACATCCCAATCAGTGGCCTGAACTGCATGCAGATTCCTGTGTTCTGGCAAGGTATGTTACAAGCCTCTAGGCACAGCCCAGCCCAGCCCGGACATGACTTGAGCGTTGTCTTTCTGCTTTGCCCCCTTCTGTTCCGCCTCGCCGAGCTTTTGGGCTGCCACGGAGCCATCCTCAATGCATCTCTGGGTCTAAAGCTGCGATCCTGAAACTCAAAGTGTTACAAGATTGAAATATATCATTAATGCAAAAGCCAATGAGTACATGAGGTGCAAGGTAAGAAGTTCAACACAAAACATAACATGATCCCACGAGCTGGCCTTCTCCTCAGCCAGAATCTGCTGGGCATCCTGGCCTCTGTATAGGTAACCCGGCCTTAAAAGGGGCCCATAATTTTGGGATAGGGGTTGCATAGGGGTAATGGAAAAGAAAATGGAAACTACTATGGTATATATAGGGGTTATATAAGGGTAATGCAAAAGAAAATGGAAACTATATAGTATAATCTTGGGAAACACTCACAGGGATATCAAAAAAGAGCCCCCAACATTGACAACGGCATCGTGTCTGCGGAGCACAGTCCATCTGCAAAGCAGGTGCTTTGAGATGCACTCATACTGCACAGGTCTCTGTATTTGGGTGTCTAGCTTCGTGAGTCTCAAGTGAATTCCTATGTCACTTTCGCCAGATCTTCGGGTATTGTCAGTATTAGGGCCCTCTAATAAATGGAAACCTACCTGGAGTTGGACCCTTGTTTTGGCAGTGGGCCCTCTGGGGCTTTTGCCTGTTTCCCCACATCAAGTTTCTCTGCAGGCGCACGAAGAACTTATGCTGCGCAAGAAGAAAACATGCAAGTATATAATATATGATGATTTTACAGATCCCCCATATTCAGCAATCTTGCCCCCAGCCAATATGACAATCCACATATGAGCTATTGTCTAAACTCCTAGTATCCCCGGTAACAACCCCTAGAGTAATCCCCTAAATAATCCCCTATCCAACTTTAAGGAGTTTAGACTATAGCTCCTATCACATTTAGATTCCCCAATCTAGAGCAATCTTATGTGAGCTCACCAGACCTGAGCTTATATCCCTGGGGTGTTCAAGAGTCTTTCCCATATGAGCCATAGTCGAAACTCCTTGAAAAGGGGTTATATAGGGGATTATATAGGGGAGTATTTTACTAGGACACTAGGAGTTTAGACTATAGCTCATATTGAGAAACGCGTCAAAGGTCTGGGGAACCCAGCAGACACGCTGGTTCACCTCGCCCAGAAGGGCATGCAAAGCCCGGTCCGTGTCGCCCCGGGGGAAGGGGTAGGCCTTCAGAATTGCCGACTTGCCAGGTTATGTAGTATGCAGGGGCTCAGCGATTCACAGGGTTTCGGGCTTGAGCGCCCAAGGAATTCTCCAAACATGAAGAAACTGAAATGGCTTCAGCTGGCCACTCCAAAGCTCCCCAAAGGCCTCGTTCAGGCACTTCAGAATCTCCTTTGTGTCCTGCACTGTTGGTCAGATTGTTTGGTTGGCACTGTGCAGCTACAGAGCGGCCTTCTTTGCACAAAGGTCCACCACAACCATGTAGATTGTGCTGCAAGCCCGTACCTTGCAAATCACACACAACATTTCTATCCATCATGCCCGAGGGCCTGACTTACGGACTCGGAGATGGCTGGACTTAACCTTTGCCATTCAGGCTACGCAGATTGCTTCCAAAAATGGGAAGCACTTAACGGATAGACTGGAAAGCTCAGTAAAAGGCCTTGAGGCTCCATAGTGTGGACCCTGGGACATGGGGCACAGACTCTGTCGACAGCAGGTCAGAATCGAAGACCATTTTGGTCACCTGAGCGGCCACTGTCTACTATGTCCTCTAGGCACCTGGCCCCCAAGAGGGAAACACTAGGACAACCAGGACTCCACAGCTACTGACTGCACTGGAACTCCTTGAGTGCCCCGAATACTCACATCTCAGCTCGGGCAACTAGGGACATTATCAACCCTATCTCCAGAATTCTGGCCATCTGTCCAAGAATGCTAAGCTGCTAAGAATGAAGTGCATCACCTTTTAATCGCATCATCACTACGAGCGACTAGTCATTAGAAATCCTCGGTCTCCAGTTTCATTTCGAAACTCGGCAAGGCTGCTCTGCGGCGTGGGAGACTATCAGGCAGTCTGCATGACAATTCCAATCAACTATCCCTTTGCTGTTCGGGACCTTGCCCTTGGTGTTCGTGGGCATCTGCGCATCCGAAAGTGCCGTAATCCTAGGAAGCCTCTGCAGTAGAGGGCCTGACTCGACTGCCCAAAATTTCCATTCCACACTAGAATTAGAAGCGTGGCTCTTGGCATCACAGCAAGGGCGTAACGAATTCGGAGACGAAACAGCTAACAAGTTGTCAGGGCAGGGGCAGCAGCAGCAGCAGCAGCAGCCAATATGCCCTTTTTGTAGCAACAGACATTTGACAGGAGCCAATCCGGGCCCCGAACTCGGCGACCGAACGCGACACATTGGTCCAGTCGGCCACAGCGTGAGGGTGTGTTGATCTTGGACAGGGAAGCCCGGCATGCGTCATCCACTTCATGTTCAAGTCCATCAAGCTCAGCGTACTGTAACAGGCAGCGGCGTCACATCGCAATCTATGGACAATCAAGGTCATTTGAAATGCGTTGTCAACTGCAGGATGCCAAGACCTTCCAAGACCTCCAGCTAGACAGTTGACAACACTTCTGACTACACTGCCGGCCAAAAGATGGGCCACAGCTGCCACCCTCTGCCAATGGCCTCTCCGCGGTACGCGATGTCCATCTCTCCATGCACAGTCAACTTCAAGTCCTCAGTTGACATGACAAAAATGACGTTGCAGAGGCTTTGTGCTACCCACCCACCCAGGTACAACTTAAGGCCAGTCACATATAGCTGGTTCAGCGCGCACGATAAGCACACAAATGGCAGCTGATGATGACAGCCCTTTCCTCAACGGAAGCAACTGGGACTCGAATCTAAATGGGAAGGCAGCCAAGTCGAAAGATCGTATTTGTCAGAGAGAATTCTGGGGATGTCTCATCTCGTCATCGCGCTACTCCTCTGAAAATCTCAGAGATACTGGATGATCAAAGTAAAGTCTTGTGCCACATGTTCGACCAAAGACTCTTGATAGGAAGGTCGGACTTGTAATTCACAATCTCAGCGCCGCTAACGCGGAAATGCTTGCCCAGCTCCAGCACGCAGCCTGCCATTGCCGGGTTCAGGTCTGAAGCTTAGGCTGACTTGGAGATGTCTCAGCATTCTCCGCTTGACACATGGCCATTTGTCCACCTCCTTTGAATCCAAATCCTACTATGGAACAGAGCAATGCTAAAGCTGCTCAGACCACTCCGATATCCCCGAAGCGAAGCAGAGTGTTCATGATTTCCAGCATAGTTTTTCTCGATCGCCTACTAAGACAGAATGCATCAAAAACAAAATCAAATGAAGTTCCAGACCCCCACAAAATTCGAAAATGAGTTCAACTAAAATCGAAATAAAATCAATAAGGGAAGCCTGTCAAAAATGAAATCGGCCAAACATCGACCAACAAAAACATGCCGAATAAGTCGTAACCAAAGCGATAAAATCGGAAACAGCGGATATTGGCCAAAAAACTTGCCGAACATCCACCCAAAAAACAATGAAAGAGAATCGACCAAAAAACAACCAAACCAAAAGTCTGATCGATTCTAATCGATTGTTGTTCGATGTTATTCCATCTTTGGCAATGTTAAAATGGGTCTGTCTTATTTAGGATAGAGAAACACAATTCTAGAACTTCTGCATGGTTTGCACGCCGCCTGCTATGTACGCAAAGGTCGAGACGGATTGCGCTGTTTCCTGAGCGAACACATCAGACGAAGTAGCATGGAAGCTGTCGAGGTTCAGCAAAGGCAGGGCATTCTGATAAAGCAGAAATTTGGGGACCCTGTGCAGCCGAATCCGCCAGAAGGGGTGGAGTGTTTAAAGGGAACTACTCTACCCACCTCAGGTGATATGCAGACGGCTGGGGTTCATGTTGCGCGGCCGAGCCTTGACAGTTCCCTGTCCCTTCAGAAGACTCAACAGCAGCTGCAGCATCCATGCTGATCTCAGGTACCTCAATGTTGCCTCAACGTTTAACAGCTGACAGCGTGCTGAAGTTGCCATGGGCTAGCAAGCATAACATAACATGACTGACAGTCTGACCTCCAGGTCTCACGGAAGGATTTAGCGCAGGTCACTTGACTGCAGTGGAGCGTCACGCAGGCCCGTCTCATCATCCAAGTCCAGCTGAATGCTCTTTCCATCTGAGGATCGGTAAAGCCTAGTTGCAGCTTGGGTTGATAAAGCCATGGCAAGGTCTACTCAAGGAAAAGGAGTACAGATAGCTTGCATGCACAGTCAGCATCACCTACTCGTATACTAGTATCACATGCTGAGTCGCCTGCAGCCGCCGACTGCTCTCGCCGTGCAGGCGGCGGGCACGTGCGTAGAGGCCTGGCAAGTGACATCGATCACAGCCAAGCATGTGCAAGGACATGCAGCCCACAACGGCCGGATGCAGACTACTGTACTCGGGAAAGACAGAGAGCAGATGTCCGAGTGTCCCACCCTGGTCCGTGCCGCAAACTAGCGCGCAACCCGGCACAACCTCCGAATTGAAGCGCCGGTAGCCTGCGCCAGCTATGCAACTCTTACGCTGTTTGTGGCAATGCGTGACAGCAAGCTGGGCGAAGCACAGGCAGCAAAGAATCCCAAGAATGACTGGAGAGCCAACACAAGAAAGAAGGTCAGAAAGCGCTAAAGATAACAAATAATAGATAGGTTGAGAGAGACAGAGACAGAAATAGCTACACAAGAGCCAGAGATAGTGCGCAGAGCAATCTGGAAGGGCTGCACGCAGAAAACCAAAGAAATGAAGCGGAACGTCCCAAGTCCAAAACCCTCTCCCCTAGATCGCGGAGGCTTCTGCCTCCTGCCCAATCACTGTGCTCCCCGAAGAGGCAGATCCTCCCCGTGACAAAGAGCTCGATGGTCCTGAGACGACATATATCATACCATGATGTACTATAACTTGCTAGAATATACTATGAATTACTATGATATACTCAGGAAGGACTGGCTTGTAAACAGCACATGTCTGAGAATGTAGCGGTTCATCGCCGCTCTCGGCAGCATCCATGGGCTCGAGGCCCAGGCTGTGCAACACAGTCTTGCTGTAAAAATGCGGGGAATAGCTAGAAATTTGAGCACTGTTTTCATTTGCTAGGGAAAACGGCCAGCTAAAGCTCTGCAGAACATTGACGCCTGCTATGAGCCTGGTGGTTCTCGTGGGCATGGGCATGGCTTCGTGATCCGAGACTGCGACATCCATAAAATGCTCCATCAAGCGTGTGCATTCAATGAACCTTGTTCACCAGCCAGCTTTTATCAAAAACAATGTGCTCCAGCGCCCGGCCGGGTCCACGCTCCGATTCTGGAATAGAAGGCAGTCGCCTTGCACAATGACCTCAGTGGATGTCCATGTGCAGGCGATGAAAGCACAGCATTGCCAGTGGCCAGGCAGCCTAAAGGCCCATGCGTGGCAACTCAACTTACCTCAGGCCTGGTTGAATTGTTGAGTCCGAGCCGGCTTGTCAGACCAGCCCAAATGAAAACGCGAAGGCAGCTCAGCACCATAAATCTTAACTCATGATCCCAATTCGTGTGCCTCGTACTCCATGCCAGGAAGTAGCCTCAGCGCGAAGCTTGAAAGCAACACAAACTGTCAATTTTTCGAATGAGGTGTCCAACAAAAAGTTGGATTGGGGGTTCTTGGTCATAAGAAACCCCTTGCTTCTGCGTCGCTGCACGTCTGAGCTCCTCCCACCAGAACACTAGTTGCGGATTCACCCCTTGCAAGCATCTCTTTTGGCCGCGTCCTGTTTCTCTTGTAACATCAATGTCATCTGTGTAGGGACAGTCTCCAGTGAACGAAGCAAGGTTAAGAACTCCCAAAATTTGCGGCCAAATCCGTGCTGGACTAGAGTTATCGTCTACTGGAGCAATTGTGGGCATCAAACGAGGGAGCTCCTAACCACTGCATTGGACATATGCAACCCAAACGAAGATCTCCTGCAAATCTAGCTGACATAGCTGTCGCAACTCTCACAGGAGCCAATGTACGACTGTTCAAAAAACAGGACGAGAACATGGGACAGATCTAGGGATGCTCACTTGTGGAATTTCCACATTTCACTCTGGCTCCAGCTCCACATTGAGTGTTTGCAGCACAGGCACCAGGAAGAGCACATCGCAGGCATGTCTTGCATTCCAGAATTTTTCCTCAAGAGATTTCGACCACGAATCAACCTGCGACATGATCTCAAGCGGAAATTATCCCTTCTCACCAGCTGTCGTCACAAAGCTGAGAGTTGCCCTGGTCCTGGCAAACAAAATGAGGACACAACGAAAAGGTGTCTGGAACTGGTGCTTTCTGACAGGACGTGACCACGCAGTTGCTTCTCTAGGGGTGAAGAGCTAGAGTCCTTTGGCAAGAATCGGCCGGTGAAGTAGTAGTTGGAATGGAGAAGCGGACCTGGCATCAAAATTGCATCAGCAAACGACTAGACCTCACAGCGAAATTCACATCTCTGCCAGCCATCCTGAGGCGCCCGCCAAAGCTGATGATGAACGTGCTGAAGATGAGCTGGCAGAGGCTCATTGTAAGGTAGGCTGATGTGTTGACAACGCCACTTACAACACAGACCCATGCAGCTGCGGCACACCCCAAATCAGATACTCACCGATGGGGCTGTGCATCCGGCACCTCATCCGTGCGACGCAGAGGCTACATGCGACACTTTGACCGTTGACCAGGCACTGGATTTCGCAGAATGCCAAGGCTGAAAAAAATGTGCAGCTTACTACACCTCGCTCCAAGGCACATGTACTCGGCAAAGTCAAAGTGATCCTGCGCAGTGTTTCGTAGGCATACACGTTCCAAATGCATGAAATGCAGGAGCACGGCCGGCAAACAAAACAACGAATCCTGCGAACTGGATAACACATGTATACCTATATACCTATATACATACATACATGCATACATACAGACATACATACATACAGACATACACACATACATACATACATACATACATACATACATACCTACATATATACATATATACATACATACATATGTACATATGTACATATATACATATATACATATATGCATACGTACATACATACATACATACATACATACATATATACATATATATACATTTATACATATATACATATATACATATATACATATATACATATATGCATATATACATGTATACATATATAC